GGCAGGACAATATAAGGGAAGGAAGACAGCGTACATGTGTGTTTGTGTAGCAGCACTAGGTTTATTTTTAGGCCTTCCCAAAGATTGCTGTCAAACAAACAAACAAAAAMTACTAAAAAAAGGCTTCTAAGAGATCGAGAAATGTCAGTGCCAGTGTTGCGGTACTTTAATTGAAAGAAGGGCCATCATTCTAGAGAAAGTCAAGTTGATGCTGGCCAATTAGTGACAACAGGCCCTGCATTTGATTTGTTAATACAAATAATGAAAAGAAATCCTGAAAACCAGACCAAATATTAATGCATTCTCTTTGGAATTTTTGATTACGCTTTGGATATTGGTTATTTGGTTTGGTTTGGTTATTTGGTTGATTATCTGAATATAAATTGCTACAAAAATTGCCTTCGGATTTAAAGTGTTAAGGATTGGAAAATCATTTTGTTTTGAGTCAGTAGCAAGTTTTGTAGATGCTCTCTCTGTGTGGTTAGCTCACCCTTGTTTTGGCTGACAATATTGCAGAGTTTGTTCTGTAATCTGAAGGTTTTGCCCAGGTGAGGATAGGATGCTCAAGTTTATTGCTTTWGGACTTGGCTCGGGTGAATGCCCAAACTCTTGGAATATTCCATTTTCAAGRGTTTTTAATTGATGTTTGTGGCAGTGTGCAAGGTGCCTGTTTTTGCCCAAGAGTATACTAAACTTGAAAAAAAAAAAAAAAAAGAGGACTGGTTGGGATGTTTTGTCATACCAACTTTTAAGTTGATATCTTYCAATTTACCTTCAAATGAAAGACTTGGGCATGTTAGGGAGAACCTTGAAGACTGGCTTTGGTACCACAGCTGTGTCTGCTTTAGAGAACACATGTGAAACCTTGTTCTTCATGAAACATTCAYTCTTTGATCATGCTTTAAGAGATGTAAAATGGGATAAAAATGAACAAATATCTGCAACAAACTCCTCTCAGAGAAGGATAAGGCAAATAAAGYACAATATGAACCTTGCTTGATTTTGTTTGGTCACATTCTTTGTGTTTATCAGTGAGTAAATCACACACTACGTAGTATGACTTAGGCACTGCTAAAGTAGATGCTTAGAAAAGACATCTGAAAATATCTGTCGTTTCWGTACTTGAAGGTGTTGCCTTCATTTTTCTTTCTTTACTTTGTCTGCTATTGTGCCTTGAGTTCTAAATTGTTTTTTGAGAACAGTAGGGTAGGAAAACGCCTCTTCCTTAACTTCAGGATCTTGATCAATGGATTTACATAATCCAAACATGGTTTTGGGGTGCAGTTGTAGTAAAAGAAACACTCGTATATGGATATTCATCATATATTTTACAGCTTATTTATTTAAGCATAAAGTGGTATATTGCTTTTGAAGGAGTTTTTGTTGTTGTTGCTTATTGTCCCAAGGAAAATAACGTTATATTTGCTGGCTTCTTTCTATTCTCAACACTTAGAAACTGCCTCATGACAGGGAGCCAGGGATGCTGTCCGGCAAAGACGTGTGATGTTGCAGATTGAGGACRTCAGCAGAAAATGGGCGCGTGCTGTCGTCTGCTTTGGGAACCCCTTAAGCCATGTACAACTTTACAGATACTGTCAACCTAAGTAACCCAACACTCTTGGCTCACATCTGTTTGGGTTTCTTTCCAACTTTTCTTGCTGTTGATGAACATTTGACATCAATGATAAATTAAAGATGAGTTTGGCTCRTGAGCCGAAATACAGAAAATACACTTCTATATAGTTATTTTAGGAACTGGTTGTGTTCCCGCAGACCTTGGTCTGCATGTGCAGAATTAGCTTGATTGGCAACCAAGAAGCAGTCATGACCGTCAAAACTAAATAAAGAAACACTTGGCTTTCTCTGTAAAACCCATCTGATGTCTTGTCAGAATTGGACAAAATAAACCGAGTTTTCTTTTCCTTCTCCTGCTTGCACAGAAGCACAGTCGAGTTAGATGCCAAAGGCAGTTAAACTGAAGCAGTGGCTYGCAGTTAAAGAGAGATGGGTCTTCTGGAGACCCCAGGGTGCCGCCAGGGCAACTGCTCTTCCAATCAGTAATTCTGAAAATTAAATGAAATCAAAACCAAAAAGAGAAAAGTCATATTTGCAAACTGAATTTCTTTTAACATAAACAGAATGCAAGTCAGGAGATTATTTTGCAACCCTTTGGATAGCTCTCTTGATGGCTATATACTTGACCTTATACAGATTTTCTGCATGGGTAAATTAGTGTTACTACTTTTTTATTTTAAAAATTATGCTACTTAAGTACTAGCACTTTAGGAGTTTTTGTTTCATACTCACATGAGACTTTTTTATAGGATTCTTTATAATTCATGTATATATCATAAAAATGTTTAATAAGATCAAATAAACCAGCCTGTGTAATCAAGGCCATCTCTTGCAAACGCATGCATAAGGAAATGTCATGTATAACAAAGAAAATCCCAAATGAATTTTAAAGAGGAACATTTCTTATTATCGTGTCTCTAGTTATTAGAGTCCACCTCATGTGACGAATTGCTTCCTTCCTACAGCTTAAAAACTGAATTCACATTTCCTTTCTAAAACATACTAAGTACAAAGCTGAGACCAACACTTTGTCCTTCMAAATCCTTGCATGCTTAAATGTTTATGAAAGTATTTGTTGTGCTGTAATTGGGGACAGATCGGTTTACTCCAGTTTTTAAATGTGAAGTGATGTGATTACAGGAGGCAGAGGTGAGATCCTGAAGTTTTAGCTCATTACGTGGTCAGAGGAGGCAGCAGGATCGCGCAGCTGCGGTTCTGTCACCTCGTGCTGTGCTTGGCCACGCGTTTGGCTGGCGACGGGGCCGGAGATGGGGCCGGAGCTGGGGCCGCAACACGGCCTGGGCTCGGGGCAGCCGGGGGAAGTGGTGCCCCAGAGGGACCTTGTCACTCATTCACGTGTCGGCCCTCGTGCGAGTTGGCAGTGGCTGCAGCTGAGGGGCTCCGGAAAGCCAGCTGCCTGTGGCTGAAGGATAATACCAAAAATGAGTTCTGGAAATGAACTCGTTGAACACTAGAAATGAACTCATTGAAATGGTTACTGGATCGTTGCATGCTGACCATAGCAACTGTTGTCAGATGTCCAGGTAATGTTATTAATTATGTAATGTACGTCCCAACAAATAGAGGAGAACTACCAGGTGACTTTCAGTATTAAGCGTTGAAAGCTGTATCTCATCTAAGCACTGAAAATATACATAAGTATAAAAGATAGGTACTGTCTACTTGCCCCGRCCAAATTAACTGAAAGCAGAAAGAAAAAATAATATATAGGTTATTTCTTATGGCTTCTAACACGTTATTTGTATGTTTTTAGGGATCAACAAATATCTTGGCAAGTTTGTCTATTCCTTTGAGCTTAAAACTTTGATTTACTTATGAACAGTTTGCTATTTAAAAAAACCCAAAAGACTAAACCAGATATATATACCTGTATATATAACTTGTAATTATACCTCTATATGTATCAGAAGTATAATTGGAATTAAAGTTAGTCAGCTATTTTTTTCGACTTCAACTGTGTCTTTTTTTCTCTAAAATCACAGCTTCCTRTTGCCAAATCTGGTATTACATATGATATATAGATTTGTTCACACAGCTTGAATTATGCTATTTATAAACCTATTATTATGTTTGGAATTGCACTGGAAAGGAGGTGTTGGCAATTTCCAAGTAAATGAGTAGGTAAAAATCAGATGAGATGTTTTTATGTATGTAGCTGGTCAGCTTTTGTGACTGTTTATGTTCACATTCTTGCTGCCTGAATTGGGATTCCAGGGACCATTGTGTGTCTAGAACCATTTCACTTAACTCATGCGGATAAAGCGTAACCCAGTGGTGGGTTTAGTTGATTTTCGAGATACAACGTGTAGCACAGTAACAGTTTTGTGAGTGATCTGAGATCACTTCAACTAGATGGAAGAAATTCTGTGCATAATTTTCAACTGTCAGTTATGTTAAAATGAGCATTTTGGAGCACAAGAAGAACTGACAGTATTTAGGTYTACATTTCTGTTTGTTTTTCCAGCTGCTGTAAAGTAAATAAGAAGTTGGAAGCTTTCACGGTACCTTCATATTTGTAAAAACACTGTAWAATATTGAAAGTTATTCTCTTTATGTTTCCTCAACATTTTGTTCTAGCATGTGGAACAGATATAAAATTATATTCTCAATAATTTTGCATTACAGGGGATACATAAAACCTCGTCTAGTTAGTGCTTTCTAGATGAGAATGCCCTGCTACTCAGGAGATCGGTTTCTTGATAAATGTGCTCCTAAAATTGAAAGCAAACAGAAATCCTCATACTAAGAGGAGCACTTTTTCCCTCTTTTCCTCTATGTTAGTTAGATAAGAATGAGAGTCTTCGTGCCTTTGGGCTCTCCCCTGATGAGAAARCCCTCGCTGCCATGACTGCCTTTCCTGGTGCTCCTGCCCTTAGGACTGTGCTGCTTCTTTCTAGGCTGGAATTTTCCAAAATTTTATTTAAATTGATTAAAAATGAGAGGCAGAAGTTCTCGTAGTTCTGCTGCTGCTGCTTGCTTTGGGTGAGAATCTATTCACTTGGAAAAGATGAAACAATTTTGGTATGGTTTGCAAATGGAAGTGTAAAACCACTGGAGCCGTTGAAGCTTGTTTTTCATTACAGTGGGTGATATCTGTTAAATTTGATTATTTATTGGCTAAAGAGAAATAAGGGGAAATCTGCATATGCTATTAAGTGTATTGCCTAGAAATTCAGAAGCAGACTTGATTTTATATATATAAATTGGCACATGAGAAAGGTTTGATGCAATTTTGGAATGCAGGTACATCCATTTCTCCGCAGGTTAATTTTTCAATATCAGTGGAAGTCATTTTCTTAACTCTGCTGCATTCTAAAACCATTATCCAGGCGCTTTTTCAAAAGATAAAATTCTAATTCTGTTACTCGCTGAAAATCTCATTTTTTTTTTCCATTTGACTCCGCTCCCCAGATATGCGTGATAAAATGAGGAAATGGAGGGAAGAGAACTACCGAAACAGCGAGCAGATAGTGGATGTGGGTGAAGAGTTAATTAATGAATATGCATCTAAGCTTGGAGATGACAGTAAGTACACATTGTTTTTAAAACTTCCATGTTTTAGCTTTTATTGCACATGCCTGGTTTTGTTTATTCTGTTTTCTTCTTTTGGTCTGCATATAATACTTCTGTGTGTTTTCTTTTTCCCTTCTGTTGATGTTCATTAAATATATGTTGTTTCCTTAGTTTAATAAGGGTACCTTAATTCCCAGCCTTGGTTTCTTTACCGAATATGGGATGCAGAGAAAATTAGTTAGACCCTTAGTTTGGCATGTTAGTAGGGAGACTGTTATGTGAAGACTTGGCATTAATCTGTTATCTGCCGGTTGTTCAACTGATCTCATGTTCTTCAGCAGCGTGGCAAAAGTTGGCAAATATCCTTTTATAGGAAAGAAAGCTATTCCTTAGTTTAAGTCATGCATAGTGCAAGAATTAATCGTAAGGCYGTTTTTCTTACGGCATTACATTTGTGATACTGTTTTTAAAGGTAAGTCTAGGTTTCTGCTTTCCTTAAAAATATTATTTTGAGGGGATTTTAACTATGTTATACAAATGCTTGATAGAAACTTGGCATATAACGTTTCACATGAAAAGAGAATTGTTTAGAACCGTGTCACAACAACGCRATAGCACTTTTCTGTAAGAATGAAACAAAATATGAGGTATAGCAAAATACTCTGTCAAGAGTGTAGTTATACGTTTGTATATTAAAGTTACACAGGCAGATTTCATTTCTCTTTCTTCTTATTTCTTTTATAATTTGGATAACTTAATACAGACCATATTATTTTCTTGTAATGCATGGAAGTATCTGGAATTTATTTAAATATTTATACTCATTTTAATTTTTGTAAAAGAAATACTGGGAATGGAAACCATATACCATRAAAAAAGAAAAAGTACAGTATGCCTAGGATTCTTGGGTAGCCACAAAAGATAAAGGAGTCATCAGATATGATGGATATTAGCCTTATTGATTAAGGTGCTTTCAGAAAATATCTGGATGTTGTCATGATTGATTTCAGAATGCATGTGGAAAGGAAAATAATGAAAGGAATAGGCTGGATTGTTTGGGTAGCTCTGTAACTTGATTTGTATGTATGTAATTGATTTATGTATGTAATTTATATTTTGTGTCTGATGCATATATTTTCACATTCATTAAAGAACGTATAAATTATGCTATAAAAATAGACTAAAGCTCTTACAAATTACTCAGTGGGCATAAATGGTTACAAAGTAAAGTGCATGTCAATTCCTTTGTATATTTAGAGAGTAAGAATATTGGCTTGAAAATAGTGGAAACTCATTAAATAGAATGTTCCAAAAAAGGCTGTGAGGACCTTTGTTATTTGCTGTCTTTCTTTTGGAAGATATTTGCTTCTGATTTGGTTCTGTGGTATATTGAGTGCCCCAATTTGACTTAGAGGAATCACTTAGTTCTTGCAGTTCCCTTTGGATATTTCCTTCTCCATAACCCATCTTTTCTGTGGTCTGTGCAGCTGCACATCTGAGTTCCTTCTTCTCTGAGTTACATTCACAACATAGTAGAGCTTAAATAGGAATAAGACAATCTGCCCTTGAAAAGCAGTATTTATTATTTACAGTACATCTTGATCTTAGGTGTTTCTAGGTGTACCTGCTTGAGCAGGGGGGTTCACTAGATGATCTCTTAGAGGTCCCTTCCAACCTCAACCATTCTGTAATTCTGTGACTTAGAGAAATTGTCCCACGCCGGGAAGAAAGTTTTGGGTGTTTTTAGGAGTTTTGGTGGAGAAACAGGAAAATAAATTCAGTTTATTTCCAGTTTCAATGACTGTTCTCTAGATCTGATCAGAGAGAAGGTCTTAATGGAGATCAGTTTGGAAAATTTTAGATATGTTAGGAAAAGCAAAGAATTAGAACTTTTTGCCTTTCAAGATGTCAAAGAATATTTTATATTGCTAAAAGCAATAAAACTACTTATATGTATTTTTAATTAATTCCAGCAGTGTGTTAAAATGTCCCTTTTTTCAGTAATGATCCACAGGAGTAGAAGGGAAAGATTATACAGACAAATTTCATTRATCTTCTTTACATTTTAGATGTTTCCCATTATATTTAAAATATTATATCTACATTTAATGYCTTTTATTTTTGTGTCCAGTTTGGATAATATATGAACAGGTGATGATTGCTGCCCTGGATTGCAGTMGAGATGATCTGGCATTGGTAAGTTTTCAAGTTGCTTTTCCTCGAATCCTTACGTTTTCTTCATGTGAATCTCTTCCAGATAGTTATAGGATATTCTGGACTCCATATCTTGGACTTGTAGARTATTGAGAAATGCACTGCAGGGAAGGAACTGCCTCCACCCACCTTCCCTAATGTGTAACTTCTGTTTAGACAGATCATGTCTCTTCCAATAACCGTGAAAATATTTACAGCTACTCTGGTATGGGCTGAATGACAAGAATAATACTGAAAGTTGCCATGTTTTACAGAGGATGTTTGTTTATTGAAAACTTCTCAAATTATATATTTTGTGGTTGTTTTAGGTTAAAATATCATGCATATCATACTGTTTGCCTTGTTGGCTATTATGACAGGCAAAGATTAATACAGTCAATGTAGAGCAATGCATTTATAGGCAGTGTGTTTAATTCCAAATGCTACAGCTGTACTAATGAGTTATAGTGGAAAAAAAAGYGTGGTTGTATCCATTTTTGCTCTTACTAAATCGTCAAGACCACATTATAAGCTTCAGACTGTTTTGTTTTCTGTTAGCTACCTGTTTTTATTTTTTTCACTTAATCCTTCCTCATCATYTGTAGAAGCAGCGCTGCCATTTCGCCTTTCAGTTTACATTGTGAGCAAAAGAAAAGGCCTGAAAATGTCAAAAAACAGTGAAATAATTTTTCTTTTGGCTTTTAAATGAAATCTTCCTAAAGGCAGGAACATCTTGCTGTTRACTGTTTCTAAGATAGCACATTTCAAGTGTGGAGGCTGATTGTCAAGGAAATAACATTTCTGCGGAGTATTTGATGCTTTTCTCTATGGACAGAGCATGTGCTTAAGGTGAATTCTGTACAATGGAATYAAAGTAGGAAATAGTTTTCATGTTAGGTATACCTCGTAGGTAAACAGAACATTTCTTATATTTGAATTTCACTCTCATAAGTTGGTTAAAAAAGTTTCCTTCTTAAAGCATTTGCTTTTATCATTAGGGAAAAGTTGGAATATTCATTTCATATTCTTTAACAAGTGATTCCTCAACTTTACTGTATCATGAGTGAGCTTCTTTTTATTTTTTTCCTCATGTTGTATTTCAAGTGAGAGCACTTATTAGCACCAGCGTGTCAGCACAGCAGGCTGAAGGAGATGGTAATTCTTTCCTGTTTGACCCTGGAATACTGTGTACTAGTTTAGAACTCCTCAACTCAAGAAAGACATTGATATACTGGAGAAAATCCAATGGGCAACCATTAAGATGATTAAAGAGCTGGAGGACATGAGACAACGCTGAGAGATCTGGGTTTACTAAGTCTTGAGAGGGCTCACAGGCCATTTTCTTGTTGTCTTCAAATACATACCAATGGGAAGGTACAAAGATGGAGCCAAAGACAAGAGCAGCAGACACAGGTTGCCCAAAAGGAAATTTCAAATAGATATTGGGGAAATATTTGTAGCAATAAGCATGATGAACCCTTTGGAATAAGTTTTCCAGAAAGACTCTGGAATTGCCATCCTTGCAGGGGTTCAGAACTTGACTGGCAGGAGGCCCCAAGCTCCTGTGCTAAATTGGAAGTTGACTCTGGTTTGAGTGGGAGTTGGTACCAGGTGACTTCCCAAAGACCTTGACAACTGAAATTATTCGGTGATTTTTAATGTAAATACTTTTTATGGATATTTAGTTATGGTTGATTTATTTGTAAATTTATTTTCATCTATACAGATAATGTAAATAAAATGAGCTATTGTGAAACTGTAGCACCATTTCACCYGAATAACCTATAAAACACAAACTTAGCAATTCCTTTGCAGACAGGAACTGGCATAGGCAAAAGCCTGCTTAGCAACCAAATTTTAATGAACTTCTTATCTATCCTTCACAAAAATCTGGCAAAAGACATGGGGCTGATTTGTGCCATGAAAGTCAACAGTCTTGGACTGACTCCAAATAAATAAGCTACTTTATAGAGCTCAAGTCATCTGTCAGAACTGCTCACCCAGAGTTTTATTCTCCTCCAGAGAGCAAGGCACTACATAGTCTGAGCCTCACGTTGGGTTGTCAGAGCAAAACTCAGTGGTCTGGGATACCCAAGGGSTCGGGCTGGAGGATGTACCTGGGAGAAGGGCACTGGAACCAGAAAGTTCTCAAATCTGTATCTCAGGTTCTGTATGTATCTAGTAAAGTGGACTACATTGAAAAATACAGCACAAAATACTGAACTTTTGGTGAACCCTGTGAGCTTTCCCTTTCTTGATAATTCTTGTGTTTCTCAAAAGAAAATACTGTTTTAGTGTAGCTGTCTGTTCAAACAAAAATAAATGTACTTACTGTTTAAATAATGTATTTCTATGTGCTGATTTATATCAAAAACATTTTTGATCTTTATTTTGAGGGTCTTCTAGGAAGACTCATGAAGTTGTTGAGGGAGACAGTGTTGAAAGATCAGTTGGGAAACGTTATTTGTTTTTCCAGCCCTGGTGGAGATTCTGAGTTTCTGTGCCCTCTAAGGGATATCGCTTGACATGAGAGTGCAACAGTTTATGCATCTTAGAAAGTAGGCTAAAAGCCTAGGGGGAAATCTGGATTTTTCTTTTTAATGTGATTGATTTATAATAAAGAAATAGTTAATTCAAACAAGCCAACATCATATGTGGGGTTTTTTGCTACATCTGTAGCCCCGAAGTTGTACAAACCGCTCTGCAACTTCTGTTTTTTAGCAGGGAACTTTTGACAGCTGTGATGCATTTTGCTTAAGGGAATGGGTCTCATCTGCTCCTAATGAGCAGCCTGCGATGGTTTTCACAGAATCATTCATCTGGCTTCTTTTCCCTTTTTCTTTTTTTTTTGTTTTCYTTTCTTTTTTATTAGTGCCATCCTCTCTGTCTTGCCCCAAATGAGCACGTGTTGTGCATACAAGCACTGCCCTTAGCCACCTCTATCTTCCACCCCCCTGTTTTAGTGAAGTCCCCTGTTTTTGGCAGGCATCTGCACCGCGGTGCCTGCACATGCTGCAGTTCAAGCTCAGTTACGAGTGGGTAGTCGGATCTGCATGTGAACGTGTCGGGTCTCAGGGTACCCCTACAGCATCGTCTTCTGCAATGTCAAGGTCTCTGCATGCAGAAATCTGCGTTACAGTTTTTGACTTCTTATGTTTATTGGAGAAAACCCAAACGTACTTTTATTCTGAAAGTTACTGTCCTTCAGGGTAGGCACGTTATTGGACAACATAACGGGTTTATGCTCTGCAAAGTTTCTTTTTAAAAAGCGGAGGGTTACACTTGTATTATAAAAGCTAGGGTGGAACTGCTTCTCTCGAGATCTGTGTAAGTTTTCCTGTCTCTTGAAAATGCCCACAGGTTAGTTCAGATTACGTCATGTGCTACTAAGAACATGTTGTTTTTCTCTAACATCTGTAGTTAAGAGCAGTAGCATTTGAGCTGGCCAGCATTAAAATTGCCTGTAAACTGTTTCTGTATTAAATCTGGGAATTTTGTTACATGAAATTGCATTGCGGAGATCTTGATTGATCCATACAAACAAGATCATGATGAAAATAGCCTGTGCTTACCTGAGGCTAAGCCTTTCCTCCCTGATTGCTGTCTCCTTCCTCTCTCTCCTGTCTTTTGTATCTGGAAGATGGAAAGACTTTTTCTGTGCTGTGCTCTAGAAACAGAGCAGAAGCAGAGGGGGAACCTGCTAATTTTTAAAATTGCTTATCTGTACATGTATTTTTTGTGGCCAGTGGATGTGATGAAATGGATCAGACTGTGTAGTTAAGCTTCACCAGACCCATAGAACTGAAGAACAGGTTTTACACTGATCTCTATAAATAAATGCCTTGAAAGGGAAGGTCCTGTATGAAGCTTTTGGCCTGATTGATACCATTGTTCYTTTCAGAGCCTAGGACCCTTTCACTTTAATGTACTGGGTCAGCTACAAACCTTGCCCTGCTATTTGGCCACGTTCGTGATAGGGTTCGAGCTGGGTTCCTGTGGGGAAGTTCTGATTCAGCCCCTCTACAAACATCCTTTTCCTCTAATCCCACAAAATCTGCCTGTGATGAATTCGTTTTATCCAGCCCAGGTGTCTCATTGATTTCAGCAGCTAGACATTCTGCCTCCTGTGCCAGCAGGCTTGCTTTAAGCCAGTGACAAACATTTTCTTTGGATTTCAAAGTTTTATTTAAAAAATAAACACAGCACATAGTATTACCATGGTTTCTTCCACTGCAAGAGAAAGAAGTATGGTATAAGCTCTCAGTGTCTTTATTTTGGGTTTTACTGTTTTGTATTATTATGACGCAACTAAATACACTTCATGTTTTAATAGTATCARAAATCTTTTAGTAGATGAGTATAATTTTCTAGATAAATAACCATTTCCAAGAAACCTGAAATCTAGCAACTTGTATGGAAAAGTTTTCTTAGAATTAGTCTTCTAAATCTAAGAGGTTTCAGTTTCCGAACTTCTCTTTATAATATATTTTATTGCTTTTTTCAAACACTGGTATTTGCTTTCATGCTCTTGGAAGGAATGTCTTTTTTTACAGCTTATGTGCGGATAATTATATTCACAAAAATATATTTCATTTGTTTATTTGTGTAGTTTTGTCTTCAAGAACTAAGGCGGCAGTTTCCTGGGAGCCACAGAGTTAAGAGATTAACTGGAATGAGATTTGAAGCTATGGAAAGGTAAAAACTGAATTTAAGAAAATGTAATTCCTCTCCGGAAAAGGTCRGTGATTTACCAGCATAAGGCATTACACAGTAAAACACTAGGCATTTTTTTGGCAAAGTCTATAAACTGTATATTTATTGTTGTACATCTACAGCAGGCTTTGAAAACCACTGACAGCCTTTTTGTTCTCCTTGTTCTCCTCTGCTCCTCATTAGCAGGGAACATCCTTGCCCACGTATGGTAGGTTCAGTAGAATTTAATAAGGATTAAATCTATAGGATTCTTTATCAAAATTACTCAAAAGCCATCCAGAAAAGAGTAGCAGAACCTAATAGGAAACCGACTTCTCTGAAATAACCCTTCTATAAAAGAGTTATAACTTAGTAAGTTTAGGAGGAAGATGTAAAATAATGAGCTAAGGACTTTTGACTTTCAGCTTTTTAAGAGGAATTACCTCAGGGCTTGAAGTTGACCTTCATTGTCTGGCTTTGTTCTTTTAATATATCCTTTTTTATCAACCTTCTCGTCTAATGCACTTTTCTTGGGTATTAGGGAGAGCAGTTAAAACTCTGTGAAGGACTTTCAGTTTCTGGTAACTGAAGGCTAGTAAATCTTTGCTGCACYTCTAGTTAAGATGTGGAGCTTTTAGGCTGTCTTAATATGGAGGAATTAGAATTTAGGAGTGCTTTTTCTTTCTATTTAAGTGYTTTATATTTATCAGATATTTTTCATCCTTCTCCTTGCAAAATGAACCCTGAAAATATAATCTGGTACAGCCAGCAGTGTCAGTCCATTGTCTGGATCAAAATAGCCAGACTCTGGTACCACCAGATCAGCCTGAAGGCAACTAAAATTTTGACATTCACAGTCACTTTCAGTAAAATACTGATCCCCCCAAAAATCCCATTAAAWTGAGCTCTTTCTGCCTTCATTTGATGTATGGGAGGAAGATTGGCAGCAGATTGCTCCCTTCCCCACACCACCCCCCACAAATGCAAAAGATCATAATTCTCTTCAGACTTGTGTGACACATTAAATATGTTCCTGCACGTGAAGAGATCTCCTTGGGAGGTGACTTCTACRTAAACATGATGTGCTGTTTCAGCAACTGGAGGATTAAATTGCAGTTTTCCAAAAGTGCCTAAAAATTCCTGACACGATGTGAGGTTAGTTCCTYACGTGACGCTGCAACATCCCGGGAGCAGGGATATTGACAAAGGATGAGGTTTCGTCTCCACAGGCTTCCTCCAGTGTTCAGAGATGTGAGAGAGGTTTCGTGTCAGGGTTATCCTGTGCAGGAACCTGTCCTGGTGCAGGAACTCTGCAACATCCTTCTCTCCAGTGACTATAAATGAAGCTTAGGGAGACCTGCTAGACTGACGTGATGACACCTTCTGCTGAGGAAGCGCTGGAGTCTGAGCGACTCCCAGGAGTTGATAAGATCCTGCCTTCCTTAGCAGGAAGATGAGGCAGTGAACARCCGCCTGGCAGACTGAGGACATCACTTACTGACAGAAAGAGTAGAGTATTCTGGAACTTCCCTGAGTAAAACTGAGATTATGGTCATCGTGTTCAGACTTGTAAAGTATGCAGGGTAAAATAGTAACTAACAGGGTTCATGAAACTAACATTTTGCAGCACTTCTGCTTAAATGGTCTGTAGTGGTCACCGTCTGCTTTTGTGCAGAAATTTTGTTTCACATTTGTTTTTATATCTAACGGTCATCGGGCCTGGACATCTGAGTTTCCCAAATCCCAGTGCAGCTGTGGGCAGAGTGTGAGTGTGTGAGTGGGTGTCCAAGGTGCAAAGGGGTTGGGTAGCAACACGTTTGGTCAGCAGCACCTCTGCAAAACTGTCGGACTGCACGTTGAGGGCAGATCGTCCCAACTGGTGGTGGTAGCACAAGAGCTGTGTAATAAAATGTGATCAAAACTGATTTGTTTTATTTGCCCGATGTGGCTTCTTTATGTGGCTGATTGAATGCACAAATCTGTTTACCAGAAAATTTGAAGCACTTATAGCAGCTGCAGTAAATTATTTGTACTTCAAGTAACAGAATTAGTTAATAAAACCTATGCACTGACAATGGAAAAAGTTATATAATCTATGGTAGTGTAGGGATTGGACTCTTATGTTGAGGTTATACTTTATAAGGTTGTAACAAAATAAATTTACCTGAAAAAAGTGAAAAAAATCTATCATTCTAGGTGTCCTTTTGAATTTTGAGTTTATGTTCCTTTGGCAAAGAGGAGAGTTGGGAAGTRGCAAAAGAGAACAGGAAAAGGACTGAAACGATTTGGGTGTAAAATGTGTAAGTTGTTGCTGAAATAGCATTCCTTGGAAGGGTTTCATTTTTTTGWTGTTTTAATACTGGCATAAAATACTACAGCTCATATTTAGCACTCGCATAACAGAAATTTTGCAGAAATTCAGCTCTCAATGTTCAGGATGAAAAGTGCAGCAGTGCTGTTAACCATATTGGAAGGMTAGTTGGAAAGTCAGGAGTTAGTGGCAGAAATAAATGTGACTGATTTGTTTCAACAGGTATGATGATGCTATCCAGCTATATGATAGAATTTTACAAGAAGACTCAACCAACACAGTAAGTTTAAAAGATTTTTCTGAACTACAGTGTTACTGTTTGAAATTTTCCTAACATTTTGTGGCTTTTGCTGTGGAAAAGCATTTTGACTGTATCATTTTTGAATTTGTGTCCTTTAATTTCTTAGTGTACTCCCTTAGAACAAATGAAATTCTTCTCATAAACAGAAGATGTGATTTGATGCTTGCTCAAGTGCTGAACTTAGCAAACATTGTTATAAGTGTAACYCTTGCAGTGATCTTGATAGGCGTTGCATTTCAGCTTTTGCTTTTCCCCTGAACATTTAGTGTTAAAGGCTCGATGTTGTCTGCCATGGGTCATCTGTCTTCCTAACGCTCAATCTTACTCTCAAGTGTGAGTACACTCAGGTAGTGCTTGAATTGCCTAGCTATTTTGATTTATTATCTGGGATGCTTTATTAGCTTTTGAATCCAAATGCCGTAGAGCTTGCCAGCCTTACAAAACAAAACCTGAGACAGACTGTACTTTTTAGGGATTTCTTGAATACTGGTTGTATAAGAGTYCTTAAGATAGTAGATGCCAAAATGAAAGTCTAAAAAAACTTGTAGCAATAGAGTCACACTTCTTTTTTTTCCCCAGTAAAAGTAAAGCTGGAAATATGAAGAAATCACAAAGTTTCATATTTTAATGTCACATGGTGCAGTTTCAGTTAATGGTTGTCGTTGATCATTCCCCATTTGAGAATTTGCCTCTCCTGTGCCTCTTTATTGAGCAGTCATCTAGGCAGGTGCAGCACTTGGGCTGTTACTGCAGGTGTTCTGACAGCCTCGTGCACGTTTTGAACTGCTGCCTTTCTGCAGTCTTATCTGGTGTGCTTTGTCCTTCAGCATTACTGACCTCCAGAAACAGTTACCTGGGCAGGGTGCCCCAGAGTGGCTATAGATAAAACGCCATGACTTAAAGTAAACTGTGGAGAGAAGAAACAAACCAAACCAAACTTCAGGAAATTGTTTTTAAGGCTGCATTTAAAAGTGTGAATAACAAGCACACAGACAAGAATGTTAAAGTCTGTGTCTTTTGCAGTGATTTAACTGAAAAAATGTTGTGCAAGTTTTTTTTATTATTATTTTTTTCTSTTTGTTCTCTCTAAAGTTGGACTTCTTCATTTATGTTCTGCAAGACAAATGTAAATTATCTGGGGTTGGCTTTTGGAAGTGTATGTAGCATTTCTGAGTAGGAGTTTGACTACAAGGCGCATCATTGTCTGCAGTTAAATTTGATGGATTTTAGCAAGATAGGGCTCAAAGAGGCCTCAAAGAAGCCTAGAGATGCCGTCTTCAAAGTTATGCTAAACCAAGATGGAAACCTTCTTGTGGAGCCACAAGAATAGGTCACCTAGGTGCACATTTTATGGCCTTCTGCTGAAGCCAGTGGAAAATGGAGCACCATATTGCCATGGCTTCTGTAGACCACAGATCTTTGAAGTGTGCTTTTTTGGCAGTTTTACCCTTCAGCTGTCTCAACATGGCTAACGTCATCTGAGTAAGTGGTTTGTTGGATAGTTTTAGAAAACAGAATGATATATTTCAATAAGTAACACACGTGGCAATTACCTAATTTGGATTTCCTCCTTTACAAAATCATAAAGATACATAAAATGTTAATACTTAGAAGCATAAGACCTAAATATTAGAACAGCTGCATGACCTATTGGCTTTCTTTAAATCTGAGAACAGAAGTGAAGAGAATATTAAATGCAGAGCAAAGGTTCTTTGTTATATAACTATAGAATAGATTGGCTCAGTTTGCATGTGCAGAGTGAAAGTTAAAAAGAAAGTTTTTATAAATTGTCATATGTTAGAATTCTTTGTGTCTTTTACCTGTTAATTATTTCCATGCACACATGTGGCTGCTGTAGGAAAATAAATATTTCAAGATTTTAAAAAAGAAAGCGTTGCTGAGTTTGTCTTGGCACTCACCTCACCTTACAGCAATTTCTTCTGGTGTGCTGACACATGGAGTTGCTTATATATATTAAAAGTTTTGGCAAGTGCTGTAAGTGGAACATGGACATTGTTCACACGAGTCATGTAGAAATCCTACTTTGCACAGGCTGACAGTATCAAATAGAGAGAAGCATGGGAAAAGTCTCTTATATTTTTTTTAAAAAAATCATTTATTTTTCAAATGCTGCCATCTTTCTGTTATGGAAAGTGAGATTAACTTTCCATAACAGAAACCATTATCTGATGGTTTTTCACACTTTAGTATGAGTCTTTGTTTGTATGCAAAATTCTGAAATTAAGATAACAGTAATTACTTTGTTTCACTTCTTCGGRCAGAATTTGAGGTACTGCTTGTGACAAAAGGCGATGACCAGGCTCAATGTTTTGTGACACTTTAACCTTCCTTGCTGAAAGAGCTGCCTCGCTGGCGGCAGGGCAGCGGCCCCGCGGTCAYGGGCGAGATCCTGGTTCACTTCTCCGCGCCTGTAGGTAGCTGGTCAGAGGCTGCCCCTTCCCTAAAGATTCCCATTAATGAGGGAATCCCGGGGCCTGTGAAGAGCACAACTTGTGTGGATGTTAATACATTGAAAGTGGAAACCCGTTCTCTTTCTTGACCATTTCACTTGAAATGTGAGGATATCAGAGCTGTAGCTGGCAGATTATTCTGTTGTTAAGGCTGCATAACCTTAAGCCTGCATAAGGCTGGGATATTTTTATTAATTAAAATTTAATATTGTGTCTAATTGAAAATCTTTATAGCAGTGCCAGACGGTGGCTTCGTTGTTTGGAAGTCTTCAAATAAAGTGCCTGATCTGTTYCTGAAGACAAAACAGGGAAGGCCTTGGTCTTTTTAGTGTATTTGGAAGAGGGATTTTTTTTGTTGTTTGTTTTTGGTGTTTTTAATGTGTTTCATTGAGAAAATCCCTGTGCTCCCTACTTTTAGAGCAAAGTCCTGGATAGCAAAAGGAAAAGAGCTCTTGCTAGAATGCAACTTTTATTATACTGTGAGAACAACATCCAAACTGGCCAAGTTACAGACTTTGAAAACCTTCATTTTCATGTGCTTCGTGTGCTCAGTAGACACTGCTGGCGTTTATTTTAAACCCATCTTCTCAAAATTCCACTTGTGTTGAGTGGGATCGGTCCCAGGCTCGAGAGCCTGAGCGGGACTTCCCTGCAGTTGTTGCTCGTGGCTGCCGCGCTCTGGGAAGGGACACGAAGTGGGGAGATGCCCTGGTTTTCCGAGTTGCAGCCAAGCAGCCGAATGAGAAGGAAGGGAAGGAAAAAATCTAGGAGGAACTGAGTGGTATGGGAAGGAAGCAGAACTGTGAGGACCGAAGAGGAAGGCAAAGGTTAGCTCTTTAGGTAACATTAGAAATCAGGTCAAAAGTAGGAGATCTGGGAAAAAAATGTGTTAACATTCGAGTCGTGGACATTTGTTTTTAAAAAAATCCCATCTTGCCTTGAGACACTGCATTTTCTGTTGTCAGTAAATACTGGTGAAATGTGCCCCTTATTCCCTCTGGTGCCTGTTGTGCCTTAGAGCTGTCAGTCGCTGTTGGAGCTGCCGTGTGGGGGCCGGCACCGCTCGGATGCTGCAGGTGAGCCCCGCTGGGGTCTGCAGGATGTGAGTTGTGTCCTGCCGTGGGAGCCAGGTGCAYGTCGCACCGCCCGAGGTGGAGGGCACAGCCAAGGTGCTGCTCGAGAAGTGCCGGGATGTGCGCAGCCCCAAGGCAGCTGAGCTCTGCAGTGAGTTCACTTATTTAGCTGTATCCGTKGGAAATTAAGGTAATACAAAGCCTCAAATCTGATAGCATGAAATTTCATGTCAGATTCAAACTCGGAACATTTTAAATCATAAGCTAATCCTCTATGAGTAATTTTTCATAAGGTCTTCATGCTTCACTCTTTGATGCTCCAAGCCCTTTTTTGTATTTCTGAGGATAGGGTTTCTGTTGAATTTTTAAGACCTGCTTTTGGCATGGGGATTTTTAAATGTTGATGGAGAATTTGTCCCTTGGAACTAAGGACTTGAAAATACAAGAAGAGCTATAGGGAAGTCGTGCCCAAAGTCCATTCAGCTCCTTGTACCATTTTGGAGAGTGACCTCCAGCAGCTACCAGGGTTGGTGAATAAGAGCAGGGCAAACGCACAGTTTGCTCTGCTTCAGCCCCCCAGCTTCTTTTAGTCTTTAGGCAAGGGATCCCCTGTGCCACAAGTGGTAGCTGCCAGCTCTCGCTGGAATTGCTGCACTGATTTTTTGAGCTGCTTTCTGAATCTTTGTAAGTTTTGTGCTTGTGTATCTGTACCCAAAGCACAATTTGACAGTGAGTTTCCATCACTTACTTCTGCTTTGGGCAAATCTCCTGTAATATGTTTCAAGCCCTCCACCTATCAGTTTTATTTGATAACCTTAATTCTTTTCTTACAGGCAATGCTCATTTCTATTCTGTAATAATTTGCTGTAATAATTTTCCTGTTCATCATTCTATAGCAGAACAGATTTAATTCCCCTCTAAGCAGAATCCTGGCCTGTCTAGCAGTTCTCGTTGCCTGTTCTGGGCCCTGTCTGGTTGCTCTGCTTTTCAGACTAGGTAGGAGAGCACAGAAGTGCAGTTAGTGATCAAAATGCAAGAGCGTTATGGATTTATGCAATGGCAAAAAATGTGTTCTGCAGTGTGTTCTTTTCTGATAATGCCAGCAGCACTGTACTGTGGGTGCTTCAAAGAGCACTTCTGCATATTAATCTAACACTTTATAGAACATTTTATTGCAATTCCAACATCATCTTCCTAGCTGGTGCACTCTGAGAGTGCCACAGTGTACATTAAATGAGGCTAGTTCTACCCTTGGTGTATCCAGATTAAATTTCGTGGACCATTTTATCATGTTGGCATTGCCTATTGTGAATGGTGGTCTTTGCAGTTGAGTTTTGTTTTGTTTGTTGAGTTTTGTTTTGTTTATAGTTGAATAACATTCTGTCATCACTTGGATTTGTGTTGTCGCTGTTAATTCCCATGTGAGAACACCTATGAATATGCTCAATGGTAGTTTTTTACTAGGCGACCGTAGGATTTTTGGTAGGAGAGAGTGGCTAGTAGGCAGGAATGAGTTTCTCCTCTTTTACATCTTTTACCTAGTTTATTCATCTGTTTGAAGACCTTCCCCTCTTAACCTGTGGCAATTTAGGTTCCTTAAGAGCATTCAGTGAGACTTCACTGTGAACTGTGGAATTCTGGGATTTTAATGCATTTAAAATATATTCCTATTTGCTGCTTGACTCGGGTCAGAAGCTCCGTGCCTGCGTAGATAGAGTTGCAAGATTTGGCCTGGTCTGATGGTTAACCATGGGGAAAAAAACCCTATGTCTGGTACCAGTGTATTCGTTGTTGTGGTTGCATTCAAATCACACCTCACATGTACTTCCTTCCCTCTATCATTGTTCTGGCTGTTCACACCTGTGTTTTGATGAGCATATTGCAATTGGAAGGAAATATTTTTCCTCAGTCAAAGTTTTAGACCAAATGCACTTTTTCTAAAACATTAAATCCTTCATAAAAACAAATTGAAAGAATTAATTTTGAAGAAATTTCTAAAGTCACAAAATAAAAATTGTTTAACTCTGCAACAGTTTGACCCAGACATGAGGCTGTTCCTTTCTCCAGAGAGCTGGTGGCTGGGAAACCTTCTTCAGCATCCAATACTTTCCTTGCAGCCATGAAGTTTAGAGCGATCTTGGGCTCTCTGTCGATGTATTTTACTAATCAAATGCAGAAGTTGATAAATGTTCAACTCCTTGCTTCACGTGGAGTGTACTTAATGCCAATTAAAAAGAATCATGACAAATGGAGGATTAGTTCTTGTGCCAGATTGGGGATTATTAGTTTTAAAAGAAATCGCTTGGAAAGGCTCACTGTTTAATAAATATGTGACATACTAAAGCACCTTACTCCATATGATACTGATTATGGTATAAGTGTTTCTTTAAGATGACATATATCTTTCCATTAAGAATGCGGGATTTACAGAATCAGCCAATAACCATTCCAGTGTTTTGTTTTAAATGCTGGAAAATTGATAGGGGGAATTCCATGTCATAGGTCTTGCATGGTCAAACAGTGCATATCTTGTGGCAACATATTTTTTTCTCTTCATGATTTAAGGTGGAGAGAGAAGGGGGAATGTATTAGAATTGTTATTAAAAAATCTTGTGATGCAGAGAATTCAAATGAAACCCTTGGGGAGCCTTATTTTTCTATCTTTGTAACGTAATTGTTACGGCTACTTTACTGTGTTTCATAGATTTCATAATAATCACAAAACTTGCAGTGGAAAGTAGGTCACTCAATAATTTTTACTGGACTTGAAATTAATGAGTTTGAGCAGATTCCGATTCTGGGTTCTACAATTCTTTGGTATCATACAATATATCTACTAAAAATGAATTCACGTTTTGAAATGTGAGGATTTTACTAAAAGAATGGCTGAAACCAGTAAAATATGACCTGCTTTTTTTATACCAGCTAGTGATGAAAAAGGCGCTAAATTGGATGTTAGAAATAAAAATGCTCCTAAGTTTCTGTAGTACTAGTGACATGCACCTTTTCTTGTAAGAGAAGTTAACTTTGTCTGGTAAGGTGGTGTTGCACAGTAAAAAGAAATTGCTTGACTGCAGATAAATAAAAAATGGTGCTAAATGGCTAAATTTTCATTACATACCCTGTTCGTAAAGCACCGTATGAGTATGATGGGTTATTCCCAGTTTGTCAAGAAGGAAACAGACTCACCCAGAGATCTAGATAAGGGAGCAGAGGTGATGAAGATCACGGTAAAGAGCAAAAGCAGCCAACACCCACACTTGTCAATGTCCTGATTTTAATGCAAATCCATCTATTTTTACACACACACACACACACACACACACACACACATATATATTTTAAGCATTGACTGCTACAGTCATACTGAATTTCACTCATTTAAAAAGTAAAACGTAACTGATAGCCCTTGAGGTCTAAAAAAATGCCACAGTGAAAGTGTCATATATGAATACAGAGAAGAGCAATGCTGTTTTGTCTTTATTTTTTAGATTGTCTTAGGATTTCTAGGGATCACAGATCTGAATACTTCATGTCACAGCTATTGAATGCCTAAATACCTATCTCATGGTGATGTGTGTGGAATATTTTTGTTTCAATTTTATTTATGTGATTGGAAAATATTAACAGGTTCTTTAAAAACAATATATGGCTCCTGATCAAGTTTTTTTCCAGCAGTTTTTAATATGTTAAGCAAAATGCTGACTTGAAATTTTTTTGCCACTATAAAAAAATTTGTCCATCCAGTTACTAGTTTTTTCCTTTAAAGAAAATCAAATATGTTAGATTTTGTGCATTTTTTGAACTAGGACTTCTCTGTATTCAACATTTGTATTCAACTCTGTATTCAACAACTTCTCTGTAATCAACATTTTTGAAGGTGTATTTGAAGGGGAAGAGAGCTAATTTCAAGCACAGAAGCTGTTTTATCTTTAGTGATGCAGAAGGTGAATGAAAAATGAAATTTTAAATAGTTTTTTCCTCAAATATGAAACAAAATTATAATTTTGCAGAAAAGTTGTGGGATTTGGAGTAGGAAGATGCAGTTTAGAACAGAGGAAAGTCCACCAGGTGCACGCGTCTTTGTTTTACTCCAAACGCTGCTCTCGGAAGCTGTTCCTTTTACCTAGTCCTTTGCTCCTAGTTACTTGACTGCATTAGACATGGAGCTCACTGTAGACAAAGCTCAGTTTATGTTTATGACTAGAAATGGCTGTGACTTCCAAAACCTGYGTGCGCCCGTGGGGCTGCGCCGCAAGGAAGGGCGGCTGCGTAGGCTGCCCCGTCACTGCACATTGCAGAGAGGGGTGTCAGCTGCATTGATGCTTTCAGATATCAAACAGTACATTTCTGTTGCTAAACAGTTAGTCTCTTGATTGCTATTTTTTAAAAATTTTGTAAATAACTATTGGGTTTTGCTCATTTGCTTTTTAATTCGAAGTCCAGTGACTCTGAGTAAACCTCCCATGCTGCCTACATTCCAATTTGTCTCCTAATAATTCCAGTGAATTTCCTCTCTCTGTGCATTGTGCTTAAGCAGAAAAGCAAAGCTTTTTTTTCTTCCCTTGCACCGTTTTCAGTGCACGTGCATYGCCTGTGTGTTTGTGGGAAGGTTCCATAGCATTCCTGGCTATGGTGATGCCACTTGTTTGTTTTGCCAGCTTGAAATAATTTGGCTAAATGCTACAGGCTGCTCTTCCTCCAGAAGAGATTAAATTGGTCAAATGATGATRAAAGGATAAGTTTCAGGGAGAGAATATTCATAGTTAAAATACTGTTAAAAATACAAAGCCTCTTTCAYATTATATGTGACTGAGCTCTTAAGAAGCTCTGTCAGGAAGAAAAAAATTTCACAACTAACTCGAATTAAATACTAAAAACCTGCAAGTTTTCCTTGAGGAACTTTGTGTTCCCTTGCAGCCCAGGCTTCTGTCAGGTGCTGACCAAGCTGTCTGACGTGCTTTTTGAGATGCAAAATGGAGCCACGAGGGGGGATAAACAGTGGGGTTGTGGTTCAGAAAGAAAGTGCACTGACTTTCCGTGAGTATCCCGCCGTGGAGACGTAGCACAAACACGCTCCGTGAGTTTGTGCCGCGCGGAACAGGCCGTCGTCCTCGTGTGCGGGAGCGGAGCGGGGCGGCTGCGGGGCCGCCTGACGCTCCCGCGGGAGCCGCTTGTCGCCCCCGCGGTGCCGGATTCGAGCGCTGTGGGGCCGGCCCAGGTCTGCTGCTCTTTGCTGCCCCGCGCCCTGCCGGACTGCTGGGAAAAGGCCCGTTTTTCTGAATTGCACCATAAATCTACATTTATTCATTCAACATTTCTCGGGGTCGGAAAACTGTTTTTAGAGAACTCTAACCTGCATACTTCAAAAATTGGAGTATCACATCGTAATTCGGAGTAATCAACTATTAAAATGCTGTGTGTCTTTTTTCTCCTGGTGGTCTRCAGCAACTTTTATGGAGTTCTAAATGTTATTGCAGTATAATACTTAAATCTTCACTTTTCATGTTGTTTATTCTGAAATACATTTTCTACCCACATATTGAAATACCAGTTGGTTTTGCTATTGAAGAGGCTATTTTATATTGTGTTTACATTAAAAGGTCTACTTTGTGCTCTAAGAGCRCTGAGAACTTGTTTATGAGGTGGGTATATATTCAGTAATGAAAAACGCCATTCAGTGCTTTGACAGAAATCTTTGAAAAGGGCAGAAAATGGTATTTATACAGTGGCAACCCACATGCATCTGCGCGATCCTCTCAAACTCGGCCGCTCTAATCGTGGGCCTGGTGAATGGGAAGGCAGGGGGCTTTGGACTGCCTCAAAGATTAGCTGCTCCTGCTGCTTTCTAATTACCAGAATCTGGACAGTCATTTGTCTGACYGAAATAACGCGTCCAGTCGGTGCCTCCCAAGAAAAGCCTACATAATGTGCTCGCAAGAAGAGGTTTTCAGTCTCTCAGTGGGATGTCACGGGGTATGTTTATAAACTCCAGCCTAGCAGTTGCTGTGCAGTGGAATTCCGTTGGTATTGAGATAATAATTTGCACAGTCAAATTGCTTTCTATACAAAAACCCAGGGAATTATGAGGCTCTAATCCTTTATTAATGTCAACCCACAGGCAGCAAGAAAGCGTAAGATTGCCATTCGGAAAGCCCAGGGGAAAAATCTTGAGGCCATCCGAGAGCTGAATGAGTATCTGGAACAGTGAGTGTCTTACAAGAATGCTGATTGTGTTTTGCTATTCTGATAAATCTTTTTAATTAAAAAGGAATTTGCATTTGATTTAAGCCTTTGCTTCCATGCTGGTCATTTACAGAATGCCTTCGCACATTCTTTTTCCTCCCTTGCTTTCTCTGTACAGGTTTGTTGGGGACCAAGAAGCTTGGCATGAACTTGCAGAACTTTACATCAATGAACATGAGTAAGTTGTTTGCTAAGTCCACATAAATCTGTTAAATTGAAATCTACTCCATGGCAGTCAAAGACATCAGAGGKTGTTTTGACAAGCCTGTGTTAGAAAGTCTACAGTCTCATTTCCAATACAACAAGCATCACCAGGAAATAWTTAACAACCTTATCTGACTACTGAATGATTTCACAACGCATTTGATTTTAAAGCAAAATCAACTTACTAAATTATCTGTATGTTTCTTTAAATATATATATATATAGTATAAAAAACAATTATATGTGTAGTAGAGAACAGAATACATTGTCCATAATTTCTCATTCAAGTGATGTATTTACTACTACTAATTTTAAATTCACAGCGTCCAAAAACAATTGCATGAACTGTATGTAAGATTMTGTTTTTCTGTTAGTTTGCCTGCGAAGGATCTTGTAAGTTATACTTTTAACCCTGAGGAAAGGGGCAAAAAAGGAAGAAATGCACCCAACCCTCCCCCCGAGCCAGCCAGCAAAAACATGGATCCAGAGCTGGAGGTATTCGGTCGCCTGGGTACAAAAGCCAGTGCCATCAGGAATGCTGAATGCTGTAGTAACTTGCTTATTGGATATTTAATGTTTTTGTTAGCTTTTTTTATTGCTGTAGTGACAGGAGGAAATCCCAGTGTGAGAGGATTATCTCCAAGCCTTAGTGCAAGTTTTCTAATATCACAGCTTTAATTCTAACCTCTGCCCAAAGGCATCTGCCCCCCTCCACTTTAGTTCTTCAGCCTGGCCTGGATTATATCACATTGTTTGCTTCCTTCCTTTCCAGAGAGTAGTAAAAGAAACAAATTCTCAAGGAAAAAATAGGCATTCTCGTTGTCATGAAAAAATTGTTCCTCCCTCACTTGTCCTACTCTCACCAAAAATAATCACTCAGCTCTTTCAAATGCTGATTTAAAGAATAATCTAGGATTTCGATATGCAAGCTTGCATTTGCTTTGGGAAATTTACCAGCAACTTTTCCAAGAAAATAGCTGTTCAAAAAAAAAAAAAAAAAAAAAGAAAAGAGCTCTAATATATAAAAATACATTTAACCTTGTCAGAACAGTCGGTACAAAAATGAGTGGAGCAGACATATTTATTATTACTCTTTTTTTTCCCCTTTGGCTATGATCTTCATTAAAAAATACTGTAGTGGAATTTGAGAAATAAATTGCCTTTGCTTGTGCTTACGTTGGTCTGTAATTCCAATAAAAATAGTGTGCAGAGTTTTCTCCAGGTCACTGAAAAAAAAAATTGACTGTGCTTAGGGTACAGTTCTGAACATTATCTGAAGTTTAAATAGGAAAAAAAAATGGAATCTGGGCCAAAAAGCAACTAAAAGTTCGTTTTTCATTGAAGGAAATAATTAGCCAGCTTACCTATTCTATGAATAAACCCAATTTAGTCTTGACTGTGAAATTGCCATGCTGGTACCATTGCGTATGGAAAAGGTTGGATGTACAGGGTTTCTGTCGTCCCCAACTCCGTGCTCTGTTCCGATCCGAGGGCTTTGGCTTCCTTTTGATCTGCCACTTTTGGCAAATGAGCTGATGATTCTTTCCTCTCCACGTTTCTACACTGWCATAACATTCATAGAGGAAAATCACAGTATGTTTATTTTAAGAAAAAGATGATGCARATTATATGGTTTAATACTGCCTCATTTTTGCTAATTTGCCTTTTCTCTAATATTAAGTATTTGCCAATACTTGTGTTACARACATTGTGTCTCTGTTTTTGAAATCCTGCCATGCAAACCCTTCTGAGCGTCCACTTTCAATAGATGCAACTTATGTAGAAAGCAGTTAGGATTTTTGTGAAGTTCGAATTTTTGTAATTAGTGCAAATAAATGAACATTTTGAGCTAATAATTCATGCTGAAAACCTTAAACAAGTGGTAGCCTTTTCTTGATAATGGTAAGTTGTTGCTTGTTTTGACTGGTTTAATGCCGTCTTCACACACACATTTGAACTTGTCAATTTTTGAGCTGTTTTCATTATAGTTTTAGGCATGAACTTGGAAGCCTGATTTAAAGTAACTTCTAGTATGTAAAATTTGCCTATCTTGATTCCTCTAATCATTTGTTAATAAGAAATGGATAATTTTTCAAGTTTTTCTTGAGCTGTTAAATATATACCAGGACCATTACATTTAATAAAGATTTCACATTATAGAATATAAAAATAGTAATTTGTAGTTTCAAGTATCATTTAAAAATATTACATTTCTTTTGATCATGTCACATGAAGTTATGAAAGAAAATCAAGACTCCTTTTCCTCTGCTCTAATGAAATTGAAGCAAAGAGCTACACACTTTTTCATTTTTATGTCACTTTTTATTTTCCTTTAGCTATGCAAAAGCAGCCTTCTGTTTAGAGGAACTTATGATGACAAATCCTCACAACCACTTATAYTGTCAACAATATGCTGAAGTAAGTATTATCAGCAAAATCTATTGTGTTTGACTGTGCATTCTGTTTTTATATTACTTAAGTGATGAAAATGGAGTAAAAATAGTTCTTATTAATTTTTCCCTGGGAGATTTAAGAGAGTACACAGAGAACATATTAGTTTAAAACRTCTCGTAGAACTTAATATGGTAAGAAAACTGTGATTTGTTATTTAATACAATGATGAGAATAAACTATAAATAAGAACAAGGGCAAAAAATGGTGAATTTCATTTTTTAAATGAGCTATTCTTGTTGAAGGGTTTATGCACTTTTCAAATTAAGTGTATGAGAAGAGGTAAAACTTTTTCATAATAGTGATGTCTAGGAAATTRCATACTCCTTGCAACTGCAGAGCCAGATCTCGGAACACTCTTTGTAGGAATTTTTGTCTGTGAAAGGACCCTTAAAAGATTTTCTTTTTAAAGGTTTTTAACAGTTTACAGCATTTTTTCAGATACTTATACTGTTAACTGCTGGGRAAAAAATTAATTTATTTTGTTACCAGGAATAGCATTGAATTAACATTAAAACTTAAAAGTCTGAATAGCTTTGTGCTTGAAAACCTGTGAAAATCTTCTAATATTTATCGCTTTCTTTTTTTTTTGATTTAATAATAGACAAAATTAACAGTTAAGTGATGGATTTTTTTTTTTTCGTTGTTCAGCATTTGAATGCACCATAAAAGACTGAAGAAACATAGTGTGTATTTGGAGCAGTCAGAATTTAGATTTAGATTTAAAGCTTTTTATTTTCATAAGGGACAATCCCAAAATTGTTAGTAATTCATTAATAGACTCAAAATAATCACTCTTTTATTATAGCAGCTGGTATTTAAATTAGTGTTGGCCTTTTTCCCCGAGTTAAATATTTTTTAAAGAAATTCTTTACTGAAAAGAGCTCAGACTGCTCCAAGCCCAGTGTTTTGCCTTTGACCGGACTCACCCCATTTGAAATGTGGAACACAAATCTGAAGAGACAKTTCATAATATCTTTGATTCAAGAGCGAATGCCTGATGATATGTGCAGGTTTCAGGAGTCTATCATTTTTACAGGTCAAATATACTCAAGGGGGGCTTGAAAACCTCGAGCTATCGAGAAAGTATTTTGCACAAGCACTGAAGCTGAACAACAGAAATATGAGAGCTTTGTTTGGACTTTACATGGTGAGCTTGATTCTTTTTGTTGTTATCATTTTGCATGTGTTATGCATGTATTATTATCCTTTACATTTTTATGACTTTTTTCCCTTTGCTTTAACTTAACACTTCAGATTATTAATGCCTTTATTAAATACTGCATAGTAATAATTTAATGCCAATGGTTAAATTTTTTTWAAAAAAGTCAAATCTGAATTCTGTGTTCTTGTATGTATATCCTGGTTCCCCCATCCCAGATAGGGTGATGATACGTTATTAACCCTAATCTCAAAATATGTTATTGAAATGTTCAAACTGTAACATTCAGCTGCTGTTAATTATGCTTCCCATGGAAGCAAGGCATTAGGTGCTGCCCATACAAGAGTTTTTTGACTTGATCTTCCCCCCGGGATGGTCGTGTATTTTGACTATCACTAGAGTTATAAATGTACAGGATCTGTTCATGTCTCAGTTTTTGCCAACTCTCCAGATGGTTTGAGCTTTCTCAGTTTTGCTTGCAAATGCTCTGTTCTGTCAAGTTTATTTGATCTATGATGAATTCATTTTCAAATATTTTAAGTCATCTTTATTATTTGTTAGTTTCCCTTTATTTCAGGCCCTTTAGAGGACCTCAGTGCGTCCAGAGGTTTCACAGGCCTCATGCTTGTAAATGACTTAACCTAATGAATCTCAGCCATTTTTGACATCTGTCCATCTGTGACATCTGTTTAGGGATTTCAATTGGGCTCCACTTTAATTTCTGTATTCCATCCTTTAATTTCTTCATTCCATGGCCAGTTCATCTGTGCCATACACACACACATGTATATATATATATACATGCATACCTACACACACGTTTTCTTAGCAGTAACCTCCTGTGTGTGGTTTTCAGTTGGTATCTCTATAGGACTGCCACAGGAGTGCTAGGTTAAAGGAGAAATCTCTTTTTTCTTCTACTCGTGGAGACCCCATATACTTTGATATATGTGATTTCCCCAACTAGAAAAAGCTGATCTATGCTGTTGTAGTCTTTCGTCTTACTCAGAGCTCTCCAACTATAAATCTTGCTCAAAGATTTGTAGAATTGTACCAATTCAAAGAATTGGAATCAAAGAATTGCAACGTGAGGATACCTTCTTGCAGAAGGATTTAAAGGCACACTCCTCTCTGCAGAGTGGTGGACTATTGAAGGTAGTGCCTGCATTTTTCTTTTTTCCCAAATTGCTGTTTTTTTTTTTTTTTTTTTTTTATTCCAATTTTAAGTGGAACTCTCAGTTTCAGAGTGAGGGTTTATCCTATCCAGCAGTGTTATGTTGAGTGTGGCAGGCACCACAGCTTGTACTGCCATGAGTAGAGCATCTGTAGAAGGAACGGCTGGCACCAGTGCTTCAGGTTCTGAGCAAATACTTAGGCCTCCATGGAAGGTCTTTCTTGAGGTCTTAGATCTTTTAAATTATCTTTTTAATAACATAACTTTTTTTTTTTTCCTTTTAGAAGGGGTTTGTAGGGAGAGGGCATGCAGGAAGCTCTAAGACTTTCTTCAAATGCCAGATAATAGTAACAGAAATTGCTGACAGGGATCACCTTTTCTTAGACATCCTATTTAAGACATGAGCCTTGGACCTAATCTTCCTAACCAGTCTTGGATTGGTGAATAGATGCTCAAGGAAGAAAAGGAGAGATCCTTGCTCTTCCTTTAGAGATTTAACTTTTAAGAAATATGTACTTGGAGGAAGTGTTGATGCTGTATATGTAAATATGTTCATTAGCCTCAGTTGATTTTTAGTTGCAYGTACACATAGAGAGCTCAAGTGATTCTAGAACAGCCATTAAGATTTATAATGGCCAGTCTGGTCTTCTGCCAGATATTACCTCTCACCAGTTATTGGCAGTCTGCAAAGTAGATTGTGAGTCTCTTACTGATGAGAAATATTTTTAGTAGTACCTGAGAGTCACATGCAGAACCCTGGATGTGCATAACAGATAAACTAGTACAGAGGAATGGAACATGGCCCAAATTGCTTCACTTTCTCTTGGATGGTCGCTGTCAGATCACACTGGGTGATTTCTGCAGCTGCAGCTTTATTTACTCTGTTCGTGCATCTACAATTTGGCTCYCCATTTCTTGGTAACCCTGTTTCCAGGTTTAAGATCTGTTCTTGCTGTGGCTGCTGCTTTAGCACTTGACAGACAAGCCAAGCACTTGTTGTCCCTGAAGAAAATCCATATTCCTGGTAAATGCTTCATAGAGGTTTGCAGCCCTGTCTGCCCAGGAAATTTATGTCTAAGGCTGGGGCGCCACAAGTAAAGGTGTCYATCTGTTTACTTCATGCTTACATATTTATATATTTTACAATCGTCTCCCTTTCTTTTGTGTCCCCAGTCTGCCAGCCACATTGCCTCCAACCCAAAAGCAAGTGCAAAAATGAAGAAGGATAACATGAAATATGCCAGCTGGGCAGCCAACCAAATAAACAGAGCCTACCAGGTTTGTACAGAATTGTGTTTGCTACCTAGCATGTATTTTACATCCTCTCATGTGTGTTTTTATCAGAATTCAAAAAGTTACATATGACAGTTAATATGAATCAACCTTATTTGCTTGGATTATGTGTATTCTGCTTCTGTTCATTTTCTTGGAAATCGTAATATATTAATACAAGTAAAGTTTATATTTTACATTTATTAATTTGTATTGTGCATTCATTAACTAAAGGTTTCTTTTTCTGGTTTGCTGTTTAAATGACACCCTCCCTTTTGTTAATAAACCATCTAGGTGTTCGTGATGGGAACACCTAGGATGGGAATATGAAGTCAACATTAACTGCAGATTGATGTCATCCCAAGATATAATACCTAGAAATTTATATGTACAGGTTTTAAATAGAGTGAAAGTTTAATGCAAGTTTGGTTATGGCAGTTTGTACTTACTTGATTCACAGCCAGGTGGGTTTTTTTTCATTTGCTTGTTTTTTTCTGTGGCTTTTTCCTTTTGCTAACAAAAGGAAAATCTCTGAGAAAATAAGGAAGAAAATAAAGCTTTCATTTGGAGCCTTTTTTTTTCCCCGTGTTGTTTCTGTGAAGTTATTTAGGCACTTAGTGAAACATTTTTGGCTGATACTTACCAGAACTGGTCACTTTAAGACAGCTCCTGTATATTTAAAACAAATATCATGTCATAACTTCTGCATGACTTCATGCTCTTGTGATACCTCACGTACTTCAGCTGTTTCAGAYATGGAGTGACAAACACCCTCTCTGACCGCGTGGGGAATTTAGCTTTGCAGCAGGTGTAACTGCCAGCCTGGATTGGGGTGAGCAGGCAAACACCTCAGCCAAGGCCCGCAAGGAGCTCGGGGACCGCAGCAGGACCGGCTCTGCTCTGGGTGTCCCTGCTGGAGCGGGGGGTTGCACTGGATGCTCTCTAGAGGTCCCTTCCATCCTCAGCCGCTCTGTGATTCTGTGGGACGGCGCCAGCCCTGCCCAGCTGGTTACTCGGACGGGACACGGGAGGATTTGGCCACTCCAGTGTTCACATGAGGCACTTAACAACATCCGAGTGCTGCAGCGAGGGGCGTCTGGCGGTGCAGGAGGTGGCAGGTTCCCCCGTGGGTCGCTGCGGATTCGTTGCCCCTGCAGAGCATTGATCAGTTGGGAGCTGTTGTCTCTTGGATGTACGGATGTGCTGGGACGAGGGTGTCCTCGCGGCCTCCTGYGTCAGAGTGGGCTTCTCAGGGCACRTGGTGAGCTGGATCCCTGCGTTACATCCGTGAATCCTCCCCACGTCCCTGCAGTATCCAGAGCCCTTTGCAAAGTGAAACGAGAGCCTGAAAAGCTTGTTGAATTTGGCACTGACTGACTTCATTAGTTGGACCTTCTGGTAGTCTTAAATGCAGTTTGATCTGTAATCATGTCCCAGAGAGTAAGATACATTGGCAATCCTGACTTGGGTGCCCAATAAAATTATAGGAATTTCAGACTACTAAATATGATGTTATTAATGGTGAAAAACTGCTCTTTAGCAATTGCTTGTAATGAGATCTTTTCCCATTCTCAGACTGGATTTTGAGCTTGGATTACCACCAGTTTGCTCAATAATTTTGGAAAATGTCCTTTATTTTTTCAAGTTCAGGACTGCTTCTTGTTTTTCGTGCAGTTTACTGGAGATATTTTTACTGGTGTGCTGCTTCTTTCTGTTTATCCTCTCAGTCAAGTGGTGTGCTTTGGCATTGGATTTCTACTTTTCCTGTGCATTCCGGTTTGAAATTTAAGCAAATTTATGTTTATTGTCATTTAAAAAAAATTCTTTGAGCATTTAAAAAAAAAAAACCTTTCATGAATGCTTGTTAGATGGTGGAGCAGTTTCTTTAAAGGGAGATATAGTGAGAATAAGTTGAATTAAATACTTTTTGCAAGAGCACAGGTRTTTGTTCCATATGACTGGTTAATATTTTTACTTCGCTGTTGAATATGTAGCTGCTGTACTTCTTCTCCTAAGTTCTTTAATCGAGGAGAAATATAAACTTAAAAAGGTGAGAAAGGTTTTGTATGAGAGCTTGCTGCTTGGAGCTTGAATTCCCAGCTCCTACCACGGGCCCTTGAAAAAGGGCATTATTGTCTAGGCCACTTAAATTTAATTCATTGGGTTAAAAAAAAAAAAAAAAGAAAAAGAAAAACAAAACCTTGTTTAAGAAACATTATAGAAGTGCTGATTACTGAAAGAATTGTTACAAGTGTAGTTTTGCATTACGTTGTCACTGAGAAACTGGCTCTTCCGTGGGTGCAGGTTCTGGGAGGGAAGGAGGAGCTGCCCCAGCCGTGGACGTGAGCGACACGGTCACTTCAGCGACCCGTGGCTCTTCCTTTAGCTAATTGGTTTAACACGTCCCCACTCGGAGCGTTTCGGTGGAGTTTCAGCTGCCACGTTGGGCTGAGGGGCAGCCAAGTCCTTCACGTGCCCCTGGTCACGGTCGTTTTCCAGAGATGCTCCTTGGCTGCAGCGCTAAATTCTCCTGCGCTAGGAGTCCGTGTGTCCACCACGGTGGGAGGGGTGATTTTGTTACAAACCATCTGGGAAAAAGCAAATTAAATCAGGATTTTAAGAAACGGATTCCRGCTCAATCAGTCAAATTGCAGCGTAATGGCAGAATAGACAAAATAATTGTTCGTCAGGGCAAATTTGAGGTGATTAGATTTCCAAGTTTCCCTCTGTTTGTTATGACGCAGGGGTTGGKTTTGTTTGCTCAGCCTAGAGCGCCCGTCAGTAGCTTGAAGTGAACAAGCCCCGCTCTTCAGCTAATGCCCTGTGTCAGCTCTGATCTCGGGGCCCCGATGGACAAGTAAAATTAGTAAAAAGACRTTTATTTTGAACCCTTCCTCTGCTTCCACGCTGGCGGGTGTCTCACGCGCAGCTTTCTGATCACGGTTGATTTAGACTGCTGTGATTTTTAATGAAAGTCTCAGAAAACCTAGTTTGCAACAGTGTTTTCAGTCAAGGATTTGGGGGTTGGAGAGTGGGGGTGTCTCTCTATCTRTTTTTATTAAAAGATCTGCACCTCCCCGCTTGTCTGGTTAGTGTGAAGAAAAAGAGAACACTGCATTAAATCCAAACCCTAGCAAAAGTTCCATCTATCAGCTGGGACTGCATTCAGAAATACCAGATTTTCTTCGAAAGTTGATTATTGCAGGTCATTCTGAAAACTGCACAACCCAACAAATAGGCTTATCCTTACGACTGCAGTCAAACCATGGGGCGGTCRTTCCTATTCTGGAAATATGGAATAAGAAAATACAGTGTGTTCACTAGGTTCTTTAAGCGTGTTAAGCCCTGTCCTCATGAAAACATGTTATTTTTCGGGGTGTTTAATCCGAAATGACGTTCATGTGGTGTTCCAAAACAGTATGTCTAAGAACTACGCCTTGACTGGGAATCCCAGTGTGAGATTTCAGCAGGGGTCGGGAGCGGGTTGGCAGGATCTGCAGCTCGTTGGCAGGGCAGTAACTACCTGTGCCTGCCCACTCAGTCTTCCTTAACAGGTCATGAAGAGCTTAAGTTAATTACAAGAGAGAGGGGACACATTATAAATCAAGGACTAAGTGCGCAAGACAGCAGTGGTATTTGAAATAAAAAACATCAAATTGGAAATTTATCGAGTGCTTAGATGTTAATGTATAAGATAGAGAATAAGCTGTTTCACTAATAGCAAATTGTACTTGCTGCTTCTGTAACTTCCTTACCAACCTCCTGAGCCCTAAATGCGAAACTGTTTTAATGCAGGTGTATTAAAAATGGTTGAGATTTTCACTTGACTAAAGCAGCAGCCTAGTCCCTAAATCCATGCTAAGAAAGGGTGAGGAGTGATGGGGATTGTCAGTACAGTTAGAAAACTCCTGTGAAGATCAGCGTGGGGTAGTCAACAACTCCTGCACATCTCCCTCCTCTCCCAACCTTGGCTCTGTGCAGCATAGTGAATATAAAGTTATACTCTCCAAAAGTAGCATTTATCAAGCTCTGTCTGCTGTTGTTATCAACCTAGGTTTTATCTCAAAAATTTGGAAATTGCACTGTAATAGATTACAATCAAATTAAAGGTCATTACTTACTTTGAATTGTGAAATGTAATTATATGATGACGGAATTACATTATAGACATTTTGATAAGTAGCTCATTCTTCTCTCTGTTGCTCTAACAAAAATAGACTTGATTAGCTTTATATCAAGTCTATTTAAATCATGAATATAGTTTAAATCATAAGAACAATTCAAGTCTGAAATAAAATCAGTGTTATAAGTCACAGCAGAAAAAGCAGTGCTAAGATTTTCTCTTTATTTGATAAGGGTTAATTGYAAAACAGTATATTTTTTAGTCTTAAAATCTCAAATTCAAAGCAAATGAATGAAATTAAGAAATTTATTAACATTTTCATGACTTACCAGAGGAAGTCTGATATACTTTGCATTCTAGTAAAAACAATAAGTCTTAATGAAACATTAAAGACACTGCTTTTGAGTTTGTATTAGAGTTGATGCTTTTTAGGGTCTTTCTGCTGGAGAATTTCTGATATATGACAAATGATTTCTTTCTTTTTTTCAAGTTTGCAGGCCGCAGTAAGAAAGAGACTAAATACTCCTTGAAGGCAGTGGAAGACATGTTGGAGACCCTGCAAATCACTCAATCTTAGATGGGCACAAAGAGATACGTTGTTAAATTTTATAATTCTGTGATCAACCTCTAAGGACCTGTGGGTTAAGTTAATGTAGTGCTGTTAAAAAGTAATTTTGTATTGATTAACATGGCTATCTAAAGTAACATTTTTTATGAAAAGTGAAATACCTATTTATTGCTGCTATAAGAAGTGAATACACACTGAAATGAATAACTTATCCCAGGAAGACAGCTTAAAGAAATTAAATATGTTGCACATCCGTCTCTTTAGATTTTGTATGTACAGCACCAGCTTTCAAGCCATAACTTGTAGAAATAAACCTGTTAAATGATTTAAAAAGTTACAGTGATTTATTGGGTCTGCCAGTCACCATTATAAATTTCCATGTAGATGAATACTGTATGATGGAGTCCATTCTTACTTTTGTATATTTAAGAGTTGAAGTGTGCTACAGGGATACTTTCTGGTCAATATTTACCATACGACAAGATGTGATTGCTGTGCATGAATATATTGTCATAGAGAAACGTTTCATTATGGTATTGCTCCCTGGTGCTACAGAATGGGGAGAACCTGTTTGTAGGGTTTACTCTAGTGGGACTTTTGTACTGGCGTAAGGCCAAAGGCGTTCCTTTCTGTGGCTTTTGTGGGCAAATCCTTGCCTGTCCACTTAGTTCTCCAATCAGTATATCTATGTATATGTGCTTTCTATYCTTTCTGTCCTTCACATCAAGAGTTTGAAGACCTTCTGGAAACAGGGCTGCGTCCTCCTCACTTCTAGCTTTGTGGCTAATRTCTGCTCTACCTCCTCACTGGTGTAAGCTGTGGTACATTATATTAGTTTCCCCACAATAACTGGTATGGCAGAATAAGTTTGAAGCAGTTTATTCTATAGCCTTGTACTCACTGGAGGATAAAAGTGTGCATGAAGCCATTAGTATGTGTAAGCCTACACCACATTTGCCCTTCAGGAACTCATTTATTTATTTGAATCTTTAGTCAAACACCCTAATTCATGCAGTTCTCACTTTGGYTCTTGCTTGTGTGTATACTCGGAGAATTCAGTTTTGCAGGTTTAATTTTTTATTGCAGCTCCGGTCAGGGTACATGACAGCAGCAAAACATGCTTGACAAATTCTAATAAAAATATTGCTATGATGATTGTTACCACCATCCAGAATAACTGACTTGACACGCAGTAGGAGGTATAAAATTTGAAAGGCACCGGTTAAAGGTTATGCATTAAGATGTCCTTTTTATGACCCCAGACCTGATCTAGTAAAACAAAGCTGCGCTCTTGCTAAAACAAAATCAGCAACAAAAACTTCCCTTATGGGCTCAAACTTGAAAATGTGTATAAAGGTGGTTTTGTGAAGCAATACCTTCTGGAAATAGAAGTTCTCGTTCCCATTTTCTGTGAAATAGGTTGTCACAGGCAGGGTGGTGCCGTGAGGGCATGGGTGCTGTGCCATGAGAATGCATTATATGAACAATCTTAAATTACTGCAATGTTGCTGAAATACAAAACTGTTAAAAAGTTTATAAAATAAAATATTATGGTGAATCACCCAAATCAAACCCGGTGAAATATCGCAGATCCTTTAAACTAGTATACTGACTGGCCTCAAAATACTATTTGTGGTAGACGATATATGTTTCAGGTGGAAAAACAAGTTAATCTCACAAGTRAACATATGCATTTCTGTTCAGTTTCCAGTCTTTTATTGTATGAGTGTGCCATCTAGAGTTTTAAGTCTTCATTAGTCTTGTTTTTATTTTACCTACATCTCAAATAACATGGTCTTATTCTGAAAGTACAATAGTGGAGAGCTTTACTGTAGACTAAAATTACACAGATTAAAGGGCTGAGTAGTGCAGCCTCACTCTATGGCAGAATGTTTTCCTTGACTGTAGGAAACCCATCACTGCTGGGTGTTTTACTGGAAGATGTAGCCTAGTTATGATGCTACAGAAAAGACCAACTAGGTTGGCATCTGAGTCTGTAGTGTGATAGAAAATGYACATAAGTTTTGTCCTAAATCTGTCCTGTTGAATGCAAGGATTTGATGGCAGATTTCATCTCACTGAGCACTTAGAACCACCTGTTTTTTGGTACTGCCACTATTGAGGTTATAAATTGGACTAGCAAATATTTCTGATAAATTCATGTTCACTTAAAAGGTAAAATGAATTATTCCTATGAAAGTGCACGGGCAGTTTTTGAATGCACTGTTGAATTCCCCTGTGAGAACTGAGTGTTTTTTCCCTATATTCAAATAATGAAAAAAACCTTTTATTCCTCTCTCTGCAGGCTATTTTATAGTTATTTCCCTACAATCTCAGCAAGGGAAGAGTACAGAAAGGAAGCTGAAATATGACATGAGTTTTTTTTCTTCTTTTTATTTTAGTAAATGATTTGTAATATATTGCTGATGATATCTTGGATTAAAGAATAGGCTTCAAAGAGAGTTAACAAATAGACTTGATATTCTGTATTGTGCTCTGATAGTGACAAATGCTACATAAAAATATTGTTTTCAAGCATGCAATCTCCTCTGCATAAAAGACTATGGTTTCATTCTGTTTCAACTGATAGCAAAGATCTGGCACTTGGCAATGCCAAACAGTTAAGCAATGACTTATGCCTATTTTGGGCAGCTGTGCTTTGATAACAGACTTGATAAGGGCGGGTTTGGTATGATCATTGACAGGGCAGACTCAATTCCACCTTTATAAAACAAGTTACTTTTGCCCAAAAGTTATACAATTCATATTTTTTAGTTGCAAAAAGCACATCTTGTTTAGAATATATCCCTAAATCTCTCCAGTTCGGTGCCCAGAATATCTTACAGTTGCCATTGGAAACTCTGTTATTAGTCAACGGAGGGCTTCCTCTTGGCCGTGCTCTATTTGTGATGGCATCTGCGTTTGCTGGTCGCTGCACTTACAGTGGAACTTGTACACCAGCCAGCTTTGGAAGGGAGGGGAAAAGGAAAGCAAATCAAACTTGACTTACTGGCATGAATTTGTTAGCTTCTTGTTACTTGCACCCTCATCTTCCAAGAACACCAACTAGCTATAGTCAGGTTTGCAATAATAACTATTCTTCTTGTAACTCGAGAACTCCTATGTAGTCAGCTGTAAAACGAACACTTTATTAAAATCTAAATGTAGAGATTCCAGTTAAACAGCGTTATGCAATGTGTCTTTACCATGGTGTTCACGGAAAGGGTGGCTCTGCTACCCTCCATCAGGTTGGGATCAGAGTAGAGGATGAGATACTGGTTTGCATACTTCTGTAGAGAAAACTGATTTTGCTTAAAACAGCTGGAAACACTGCATTATTCAGTGCTGAAAGAGAATTTTAGCACCAACTATTATTTTACTACAGATATTTGAATCTACATGGAGAGTGAAGTACTTGGAATTGGTCATTAGTCTTATCTGAAAGGACTCCGCACCCTTAGAGATCACTATCCTCTTGATAGGCACCAGCTGGGGGTTGGGTTTAACCCAGAGACTAGTTTTCAGAAAGAAGTGGTCATTAATCTATCTTCCTTTTAGATCAGGGAAAGAAAAAATGTTAGGAAAGGTTGTTTTTCAGGTGCTGCATGTGAAATGGGAAGCCCTTATCAGTGCAGTTCCCTAAGTAAGTTTACTCTCCCCTGTTAGGGGGAAATGCTCTTCTGTAACAAGCAGTTCAAACCTTCTCCTGCCCCTTGAGTATGAAGAAGCAAGGCCTGTGCAACCCATATATGGAAGGCCTTTCTAGGACAAGTTCTGAAAGAAACAACATTGATGCCACAGGCTCCCATAGGGGAGCACTGCTGGTGCGCCCTGAGTTATTTCCACCATAAAGGAGCTGAGAGAGACCCACCTGACAGTGCCCAGAGCCTGCAGCGGCTCCACCATGGACACGGGCCTACCTGGAGGGTCTGCCCCTGTCCCGGCCTGTCCTTCCTGGTTTCCTTTTCCCCGGCTGCCACTGTGGTGACTCTGGGACCTCTCCTCCATGTGGAGCTGCGGGGGCTGTGGGTGACCTCCCATCCCCTGGGACTTCCTTTGGGCGTGTTTATGTTTGTGTAATGAGTTTTTATTAAAACATGTTATAGCATAAATATACAAGGGGCATGGAGCAAAAAAGCGAGGGAAAACGTTTCCAGATGGGAGGCCTGTTAGTCAAGCTCAGAGGGGCAGCTATGGGAGAGCTGCGTTTTCAGCCCACATTGGCCAGCGCCAGTCCAAACACTTGCTTCCTTGCAGAAGATGACCGAGGGTGCTGTGTTTTGGCATTGGGTAAATAATGAAAGGTATTATAAAAGCAAAAAAGCAAAAAAACGTGACAGAAACTGCAGTGCAAATTACCCTTTCTCCTCATCCTCCTGTTCTTAACAGTTGTCCACGCGACCTTGCTGTCGTTAGGGTCTGTCCTGCCACTTGGCCAACACGTAGGCATCTGCCTCAGGGCTCGCAGCAGGGAAGGGCGTTACCAGAAGGAGGGCTCCCCGGCATCGAGGCTCCGGCGTGTGTCCCTCACGGCAAGACTTGCCCTTTGTGCGTGGGCAGCAAAGTTCGGCCTGCCCTAGAGACCCTGTTTTGAGATCGAGACTAGCTTTCCTCCCAAAACAATAATTTGTACAGGTTTTCCCTAGCAAGATTTTGGTTTTGGGACATTGTGTTTGAAAATGAAACCCTAAACCAGGCAGATGCAGTCCTCTGGGGAAAAGACCGCAAAAATCAACACGGGGGCTGTTTCAAGAAGGAGGGAGCAGCAAAGCAAAATCAGCCATTGCTTCTGTTTATGTAGGTAATTGAGCCTGACGCAGCAGTGTGCCTGACAAGTCGGTTTGTGTTTTTTAGTCCATTAAACACAGGTCCAACACTCCAAGCTGTCAGTGGCAGCCTGAGAGTGTTTCAGTTTAGACTCTGGAAATTGTGTAGATGCAGATAGCTCATGACATGGGCAGCGGCCTCGCAAGCCAACCAGCAGAAAAGTATCTCAGTATCCCCTTTCCTTGGGCAGCTGCTACGGTTTGTTCTTTAACTTTGAATCAAGAATGAATGCCATGAAGAATTATTAACAGGCATACTGAAAGTTAGATGTAATAGATGTTATGTCCTTTTAATTAATTCTGTAATCAATATTGCTATTCCTTTTCTGTTTTTTTTTTTTCACTATTTGAGTTTCTTGAGCATTATTTGTTTAGCTGGTTTAATGGTGAGCTGGAAATTCATTTGGAAGAGTTAAAAGRAGGATGAAAATTCTGAAAAACCTATAAACACCTTGGTCTTGCTGACTGAGATCAAGATAAATTGTATATAAAATGCAGAATTTTTGTTTTAAACATATCAATAACATTYAGTGAGTTGTGTAACAATATTATARTTGTAGTCACGCCAAGCTTTTTGATCAAAACTTCCCAGAAATGTGATGTCTGTATGGAGCCAGAAGTTCTAATAAGCTTTTAAATAAACTTTGATTTAGTTAAATATAGGCGCTGCCCAGACTAAGGAAGAAATCATTGCTAATATGGGTATCTTACTCCTCTTGGGAAGGTCCCATTTTCAGGTAATTTTAAGCCTGATCAGCTGTACCAAAGAAGCAGCTGCACCTATTACCAGAGTAGCCTGAACGAGCTCTGGGGCTTTTCCACATACAAACTTTCTCCTGCATAAAGCAGAGATGTAGATGCARCCATTTGGGAACAAAATTTGAGAGCAAATAGATGCATGATCACTTGCATGCAGGGGATTGGATGAAGAAACCTGATAAGATATTTATGTTTGTTTCTCCTTGGGC